GAACTACTGTGTCCACCCTTTTCCTCTATTTTGCATGAGACTTTTGCATGACTACTCTGAAAAAGATGACACAGGGCCTTGTGGACCACTGTAAGGCCTTGTTTTTTACTCTGAGGGAAATGGAAGTCACCAGTGGATTTTGAGCAGAGAAAAGACTTCGTATAACTTAATTTAGAATAGACAATAATAGAGCAAAAGTAGAAACTGAGAGAGCCGTTGGGAATCTATTGCAGGGATTCTATAAGCCATTAGGGTAGTTTAAATCAGGAGGGTAGCATGGAAGGCGATGCTATGTCCAGATTCTGGTTTCATTTTGAAGACTGAGACCAAAGGTCAACCCAATGGATTACATGTGGAGGTCTGATCTGCTGATAGAAGTTGCCTTCGTGCCCCTCAAAATTTGTAATATTTGTTCTTAATTCTCTTGACACCAGAGCTTAGTTATCCAGAGGAATTCATATCACTAAATGTCATTTTTTTCCTTAATTTATTTATTTTTTCTCTTTTAATTTTTATTTTGAAGTTGTGGGGTACAATTCAGGGTTAGGTATACAAATGTTCATTGTGCAAGTACCCTTATTGATGAGGTGTGCCCTCCCTTCCCCAGGTGGATATCGACTACTGTCAATGTCAGCTATCCCCTCCATCCCATACCCCACAGTTTCCTGCTACTTTCAGTCCCTTTATGATCCTGCAATCCCCCTACCGGAAAAACTCAGGTCACTCTATGAAAAAGATACCTGTACCTGTATGTTTATCACAGCATTGTTCACAATAGCAAGAACATGGAACTAACCATGCTGCCCATCAAAAGAGGACTAGATGAAAAAAATGTGGTACATATATATAATGGAATATTATGCAGTCATAAAGAAGAAAAATATCAGCCGGGCTCGGTGGCTCAGCCTGTAATCCCGCGCCTTTGGGCGACTGAGGTGTGTGGATTGTCTGAGCCCGCGGGTTCGAGACCCACCTGGGCAGCGAGACCTCATCTCTACAATAAATCAAAAAATCAGCTGAGCGTGGTAGTGCATGCCTGTAATTCTGGCTACTTGGAAGGCTGAGGCGGAAGGATCGCCGGAGCCCAGCAGGTCAAGGCTGCGGTGGCCGTGAGCGGCCACTGCACTCCAGTCTGGGCGACAGAGTGAGACTCCAACTAAAAAAAAAAAGAAGAAGAAGAAGAAAAATATCGTGAACTTCGCAGCAACGTGGATGGAATTAGAGCTCATAATACTGAGTGATCTCTCACAGAAACAAAGAGCTGAGTATCACATGTTCTCACTAAATTTCATTTAAAAATAAATTACATACACACATACAGACTCACATGCATACATGTATATAGCTCACAGTGAGAAAGTAAGTGACTGTCATAATTAATATAGTTTCTTCTCTTCCTTTGACCATGTCATTCTCATTATCCAAAATAACTGCAAAGGTCTAATTCCGCTTACTATGTGTCATTACCCTCTGACCTAGCAATGAAAGATCTCCACAAGCAAATCCTTCCTTGCTTTTCTGGGGTCTTCACTTCCTTATCCCCATACTATCCTTTGATGATAAATTCTCCAGTTTTCAAGTGTAGTTTGAGGATACTTTGGGGAGGAAATCAAATTTCAAAGTAAAAATTAAAATATACTGTGTGCACTCTCAATGTAATTCTGGGAAATGTCCCTTGAGTAAAATTTTGCAATAGGCGAAGCCATTTAGAGTGATGTTTAAGAGACTAGGTCCTAGCCTATCATCTTGAGTGAATAGCTAATCTCAAGCCCCAGTTTCTTCATCTGTAAAACTGAGACCAGGTGGGATTCGGAAGAATATTAAATAAGATAATACATTTAAAGCATTTAGCACAATGCCAGACACATAGCAAGCTCTTATGATTGTCAGCTGTGTTGATGAATCAAGATGGTAGTAACTTTGCTTTTTTATTTTATTTATTTATTTTTTTGAGTCTCACTGTGTCGCCCAGACTGGAGTGCAATGGCCGCTCCCGGTCACTGCAGCCTCGACCTGCTGGGCTCCAGTGATCCTTCCGCCTCAGCCTTCCAAGTAGCTGGAACTACAGGAGCGCGCTACCACACCCGGCTAATTTTTTTGATTTATTGTAGAGATGAGGTCTCGCCAAGTTGCCCAGGTGGGTCTCGAACCCGCGGGCTCAGGCAATCCACTCACCTCAGCCTCCCAAAGAGCGGGATTACAGGCTGAGCCACCGAGCCCAGCCTGCTTTTTTATTTTCAATTGGAACTAAGACTAAGGATTTTTCTATGGCTTTACATTCACTATGGACATTGTACTAAGTATATGCCTGGATATATCACTAAAAATTTTAAAAACTTAGGTTCAAGGCATTAGGCTAAAAGAAAGAAAAAGACATTAGAAGTGGAAATAAAAGTCCAATCTAACCTGTTACTGGTGGGTGCTTCCATTTTCCTCCTAACCTCCTCCCCCGCAAACCTTGTCCATATTGGGTAATTAAATTGAATTGAATTGAATTGACTCAAAAGGAAAAATACTAAACTTACCTCTGCTCTCATATGTTACTTTAATTGTGTTTTTTTTTGTTGTTTAAGTATAATTCTTCATCGAAAACAATATGTTTACTGTAGAAAAAAACACATATTCTTTTAGCATAATAATTTTGGAAGCAAAAGATGGTCCCCATGGTAAGAAGATGGGGGAAAAAAGTCGTATTAATAGCAGATAGCTCAGAACTAATGTACATTTTATAGTATAAAAGAAAGACTTTTTGGCCACCCCATTTAAAACATCATTGTGAACAATAAGTTATACTAAATTGGTGAATAAAATAAAAAGGAACCAGTCACAATATGTGAGCTCAGAACAAATGTCAATAGTCAACTGCCAAGAAGCATTCCAGGAAAACAGAGACCTCCCCCACCCAGGACACGCGGAGACTTAATTGGAAGAAAGACTTTGAAAATATTTCTGGCCGCTTAGAATCAGATTTATAGGCATATAATAGTGGTTTAATCCTCTCATCCTGGAGTTACCAGAGTGATAGAATATTAGGATGGATAAAAAGCCTCAGGAAACAATGATTTTCTGATGTCCTCAACTCTTCTGCAGGGCAATTTTGGATCCCAATCACTTCCTTTTTCTAGGTTCCTAATTCCCTTCATGCAGTGTCTGATGGAATATATTTTTCTGTCACATTTTTTCCCTATTGTCTTCTGGTGGGATATTTTTTATTCTACCCCTTTTGGTTGTATGTAATTGGATCTCTCCAATGGTATTTTGTGACAACCTCAATGCCTCTCTTTTTACTTGTCACAATCTAAATTTCTTGAGATTATCTACTCTTACTACAAACACTGCTTCTCTGTCTATAACCTGTTCTAGTGTTACTTTCCCTCCTTTCCCATTCATTTACATGGTCTTATATCCTAAATTAGCCATATTTTTTTTTTTTGAGTCAGAATCTCACTCTGTCGCCCAGGTTGGAGTGCAGTGGCATGCTCACAGCCACCCCAGCATCGACCTGCTGGACTCCGGCGATCCTTCCACCTCAGCCTTTCAAGTAGCTAGAACTACAGGCATGTGCTACCACATCCGGCTAATTTTTTTTATTATTATTATCATAGAGACAAGGTCCCCATGTTGCCCAGGCTGGTCTCGAACCTGCAGGCTCAGGCAATCCTCTCGCCTCGGCCTCCCAAAGTGCTGGGATTATGGGCTTGAGCCACCATGCCCAGCCTAGCCATATTTTTAGCATTATATCTATAGAAATGAGAAAATATCAAAAAAAGTACCCTAAAATACTAAATTTTTCATTTTTAAAATATTAAAATATTTGAATTATTTTAAATAATTATCTTAAAATAAATCAGTTTATTTAAATGTTCTTATATTTATATGTGAACTTATTGATATTTTTAATCTAAAAAGAACATAAATATGTGTATGAGTAGTGTCCCTTAAAAAGAAGGCATGGTGGCTCACCCTTGTAATCCCAGCATTTTGGGAGACCAAGGCGAGAGGATTGCCTGAACCCAGGAATTTGAGACCAGCCTGGGCAACATGGCAAGACTTCATCTCTACAATAAATTTGTAAAAATTAGCCAAGTGTGGTAGCACACACCTGCAGTCCCAGGTACTTGGAAGGCTGAGGCAGAAGGATCACCTGGTGGTGATCAGCCCAGCTGGTGGAGGCTGTGGAGGGCTGTGATCATACCACTGCCTTCCAGCCTGAGCAACAGAGTGAGACTTCAAAAACAACAGCAACAAAAGTTGGAATAATATTCACAAAGGGTTTGGAATTGATTTGAAAACCACTTTACAATCTTGACAGATTATTACTCTGCTACCTTATAGCAAAGTTTCCTGTTTTACCCAGATTTTTTTCTTATTTTTAATTTTTTTTTTTTTTAAGAGACAAGGTCTTGCTCTTTCACTCAGCTAGAATGTGGCATGATCACTGCTCACTATAGCCTTGAACTCCTGGGCTCAAGCAATCCTCCTGCCTCAGCCTCCCGAATACTTGAAACCATAAGCACGTACCACCATGCCCTGCTAATTTATATTTTATCCAAATGAATATTATTTACCTAATTCACTATACCAGATTTTCTTTGATAGTTTTCACAGTTCACAGCCGTCCTTAGAGGGTAGAAATTTATCCCACTAAGGATTTTCAAAAAGAATGTGAGGCATGTCTTGAATACGATTCTGAAGGAGAATGACAAACTTGTTTTAGAGTAAGACAAGCATAATTAAAATAAAATAAATAAGCATTATGAATAAGTGTATAGTTCCCAAGTACTTCAGAAGGCAAAAATCCCTTTTGGTTGGTTAAGTTCTCTTGTTTCTGGTACTTAGTTGAACTTACTGTTTCGTAGTCACAGCATAAGAGCCAACTCAAAAGTTGTGTTGCTTGACTTCAGCTATGTTCCAGTACGCAGCATGCTTAAAACTTCAAATCTGTACATGTGGAAAGTAAGCTCTTAATAATAACAATATATCTGCCTTATTGTTTCTAGGACTATACTTGACAAGAAGCAGCTACTGGAATTTGCTCAACTCGGCTGTTACTTGGAATATGATCTCTTTGGTACTGAACTTCTTCATTACCAACTCAGCCCGGATATTGACATGCCTGATGATAACAAAAGAATTAGAAGGTAAATATGATTACATCTCTTACAGTGTTCCCTTTGACTAGCCTCTTTTGATTGTCATATCTAGGTGAGTTTTAGCAAAGATTCAGAAAACAGTATCAGGCTGAACCACAGACTTTCAGAGAAAAATATATCTATGCTGTTTCAGGGAGAAAATCTCTATATATTATTTTAAGGAGAAAATGAGTCATCCTAAGTAGGCTAAAGCTTAGCTGAGCCTTAGAAGTTCAGTGCAGATGGGCAGCTGACAGGAAACATAGGTAATACTCAATCCCTGCCATGACAGAGCACAAAAGACATTTTTCTCCTTTTTACCCCTAATGAAATACACTGTTCTTTCCCAGGTTGACTACAATACAGTCATAACTTCCTACAATTAATATTTTAAATGCTGTATTCAAAGTATTCGTTAAAAGATTGACTGTAACTTAAATGCTAAGAGTGTCATGTCTAAAGAACAAACATCATATGAAATGCAGCCTCCAAAAAGTGTCAGATGTGCAATAAAAGCAAATGATGGCAGGAATCATTCTTCACAACCTGGTAGAAGTTTTCAGGAGTCAAGGATGGCTAAGTGGTTTGATATTGGTAGCATGGTAATATGAAGATGGAATAAACCACATCAGAAAACCTGGGAAAAGAATTTGATTAGGGATTGGCAAGGAGGGCCTCAGTTTGGGAGCATCTAAGTGATGCCATCCAGTGAGTCCCTAAGACAAGGGGGTGAAGCTCAGAGCAGACACTAGGGTTGAGACATGAATCTAGACATCACCAGTTTGTATGTGATAATTTGCACCACAAGATTGAGTAAGATGACTCAGAGAAGAGGATAAGGACAGAGATCTGAGGACAGGGTCATTTAAGAGATAGAGACAGAACAGTCTCTCAAGGACAGGTTGAGAAGTTTTCAAAATGATAATACAGGTAAGATGTTGTTATGAATGTTACTGGAGAGGAATTCTCAGGGCAGAGGGCTTGGGCAACTGTAGGGCAGATATCAAGTAGATAAAGACTGAAAAACACCCTTGTATTTCACACTTAGGAGCTCACATTGTATAATCAATAAGCACAGTTTGGTAGAAAAGGTTTGAAGAAAGAGTGGGTGGTGAGGAAGAGGAGAGAGATTATAGAGTTCACTCGTATGAGAAACATGATAGCAGAGACAAGAAAAGAGGTAGGACTAAAGGTAGAATACAACACATGATTAAGTGAAGCTTCTGGTAAGAGTTGAGCAATGTTTTGTGACTAAGAGCAGAGAGAGAGAAAGGAAGAGACTCAGTGAGAATGAATTTAGGGAGGTAGTATCCATTCCACAGGGTTGTGATAGAATTTATATGAAATAAAGTATGACAAGTTTGTATCTGAGTGTCTGGTACAGAATATGGAAGTGTTCAATAGATGTTGACTTCTTTAAAATCTAGATATACAAGAAATATAGCTCAAACTTCCTAAGGACACAAGTAGATGTAATCTGGGGAGCAAACAGAAAGTTGATTGAAAGGATGTTTTCTCCATTGGAATGAAAGAGCATGAAGCAAGTAGCGAGTAATGGTGTGAATGCTCCTGCGAGGGGAACAGGAAACTGAGGACACACGGCCATGTGTTTTCAAGTGTCCCTGTGAGGTAAACGTGGTTATCTCCTGAGGAAAAAAGGAGTGAATTTGGGGGAGGACCACATAGAGGAAGATGGAAGCTAGCAATGGCTGTCAGTGAATGAGAGAAACACTGACAAAAATGTGTTGTGTACAAGACCCAGTTGAGTCTGGAAACATTACTTGCCTGTGTTTTGGCACATGATTTGGTGATTATTTTACCAAAAGAAGTTTTGTATTGTGGTTGTAGAAGCATTGCTAGTAGAAGCAGAATGTGCAAACAGTCTGAAAGACGGAGGATTGGAATTCTATCTGAACAATACAGTTAATAGTTAAGGGAACAAAGGAGGGGCTGATATGAGGTTCATAGAGTCCAGGCTGGAGGAAGAAAGTGTAGAGAAGAAATGGGCAGATGTATAAGAACAAAGTAGCAGGGCAAATAATTGGAGGCTTTAATGAAGTGGGTGGATATATCCAGTAGAAGAGGTGAGTGGAAAAAGTAGAAAGCGGTAACATGACCAGAGTGGGAAAGTGAAGATTGAGATTTCAGAGAGGGAGCAGTTCTCCATAATGAAAAGGACAAAAATATGGTTATGAGTGTAAAAAATGGTTGGATTGGATATAGCAAAGTTGGAATGAAGGAGTGATGTCTAGAAACTGTGAGACTCAAGTATCGATAGTTGAACATATGTGTACCCTGGAAGAAGGGAAGGTCTTGAGTTAGTGGTCAAGGTTGAATCTTTCCCCTGGGAAGTGGATCCTTTTGTCTGTATGTTTTCTGCTATCTCCCTATATTGACATTCCTCCTTGATGATCTCATTCATAGTCAAATATACTTCAAGTTTAATATGATTAGAGAAAGCTTGTTGATGAGTATTACACTACTTATGTAAGATGGCAACACTCAACTCTACACGAGCAATCTGCTTCAACTACTTTGACCAATGAATAGTTTTTTTTAAATATACAAATCAGTTCTTTGAAAAATAGATGTATTATTTCATTTGTTTATTCATTTCTTTTGTTTTATGATTTTAATTTACTTGCCCAGGAACACCATTCAATAGAGGCAGGCCAGTTTCCCTAGGACCCTACTAGTTAGTGCCATACTCAGACAAGTTTTATTTTTTGCCGGAAAGTATCTGGAATGTAAAATGGGGTAGTTCAGTAGAACATTCTCATCTTTCACAATCACAAAAACATGATTTCTTGATGTATGCCCTCAACACACATTTTATGATTCTTCTTAAAAATGGGAAGTTTGAAGCCGGGCTCGGTGGCTCAGCCTGTAATCCCGCACCTTTGGGAGGCTGAGGTGAG